AAAACATTAACAACAACAAAAAACTGTACAATCATCCTGTATGCCTCAATGATTCAAGGCATTTTCAGATCTAGCACCAGCCTTCTTTCCAGACTAATTTCTTAGACTTATTTACATTAGGTAGGCCATTATGCACTTCTGCATTATGGGAAACGTGGATTGACTACTGAAACTGGATTGTGTACTAGGCCTACCTGCTTTGCAACTGGCATAGGAAAGACTACCTCTGATACTCAGAAGGTCATGAAGCTCTTTCTGAAGAGAAGCTAAGGCACCTGTTTCTGCCCCGAGGGCATACCCAAAATAGGTTCATTACTTTACCTCTTCAAAGGAAAAAGTAAAATTTCATAACTCTTTCCCCTTTCCAACCCATTCTGGCATTAGATGTTTTAAAAGTACCTCTATGTATCTTTTTCACCGATTATTTTGCTTCTTTTGTAGCAGAAAGAGCCAACAGAATTGTCAGTAAATGTACCATAGTGCCAGCTCTTTTCTAAAAATCTTCCTCATTTTTAGATATTAAAAAAAATAAAGTGATAGTAGCTCAGTTCTGCTAGAGATGACATACATAAAGTAGCTTTAGTGAAACCAAACCAAAGGTGAAATTATATCAGTTTCTAAATTCTACAGATTTTCATATTCGTTTTTTGATTGTTATTGTCTACTTTTAAACTCAAGAATAAAGAGAATAAGAAAGTACATAAGAGAGTCTTTCAATCACGGTCCTGACTGGAAATCTAACCATCAAGCCAACTGGCAGAAAAGAAAATGAACTGTACTTCCCAATCTTGTTTCCATTCAGTGTCCATTTGTCTCAAATAATACCAACAAGTTATGAAATGAATCAATTATTTCTCCCTCACTCATTCAGATGGCTAAAAATGAAGTAACTCGGCAAGATGAGGATGGAGAAACCAAATCAGCTCATGTTTTTGCTATGATTTGCTACAACCTCAATCCTAAACCTGCCACCTACATTAATCCCTTAATTAAAATATCCTTCACCTGGTCTGAATTACTACAGCATATGAAAAGACCAAAAAGGAGCCCAAATAGCCAAAGCAATACTAAGCTAAAAGAACAAAGCCAGAGGTATCACACTACTCGACTTCAAACGATACTGCAACACTAAGTAACCAAAATAGAATGGCACTGGTACAACAACAGACACATAGACCAATGGAACAGAAAATAGGGAACCCAGAAATAAAGCCACACACCTACAACCATCCAGTCTTCAACAAATTCAACAAAAACAAGAAATGGGGAAAGGACTCCCTATATTCAATATAATGGTGCTAGGATAACTGGCTAGCCATATGCAGAAGACTGAAACTGGACCCCTTCCTTTCATCATATACAATAATCTACTGAAGATGAATGAAAGACTTAAATGTAAAACCTAAAACTACAAAAACCCTAGAAGAAAACCTAGGAAATACCATTCTGGACATAGGCCCTAGCAAAAATTTTATAAGGAAGATGCCAAAAACAGTTGCAATAAAAACAAAAACTGACAAATGGGACCTAATTAAACTTAAGAGCTTCTTCTACATGGCAAAAGAAACTATCAACAGATTAAACAACCTACAGAACAGGAGAAAATATTTGCAAATCATGCATTCAACAAAGGTCTACTATCCAGAATCTATAAAAACTTAAGTCAACAAGCAAACACCAAACAAATCCCTTTAAAGTATGGGCAAAAAAATATAAAGACATTTCTTAAGACATACATGTGGCCAACAAGCATATGAAAAAAATGTTCAGTATCACTAATCTTTAGAGAAATGCAAATCAAAACCACTATGCGACAGTATCTCACACTAGTCAGAATGGCTATTACTAAAAAGTCAAAAAATAGCAGATGCTGGCAAGGTTGCAGAGAAAGGGAATGTTTAAACACTGCTGGTGGGAATGTAAACTAGTTCAGCCACTGTGGAAAGTAGTCTGGAGATGTCTCAAAGAGCTTAACACAGAGTTATTGGGCCAGGCACGGTGGCTCACACCTGTAATCCTAGCACACTTTGGAAGGATGAAGTGGGAGGATCACTTGAGGTCAGAGACCAGCCAGGCCAACAAGGTAAAACCCTGTCTCTACTAAATATACAGAAATTAGTGGGTGTGGTGGCACATGCTTGTAATCCCAGCTACTCGGGAGGCTGAGGCATGAGAATTGCTTTAACCTGAGAGGCAGAGTGAACTGAGATCATGCCACTGCACTCCAGCCTGGGCAAAAGTGAGACTTTGTCTCAAAAAAAAAACCAAAAAAACCACCCAATAGAGCTACCATTTAACCCAGCAATCCCACTACTGGATATATACCCAAGAAAATATAAGTCATTCTACCATAAGAACACATGCCCATCACTGGTGAACAGGATAAAGAAAATGTGGTTCATATAAACCATGGAACAGTACACAGCCATAAAAAAAAAAAATGAGATCCTGTCTTTTGCAGCACATGGATGGAGCTGGAGGCCATTATCCCAGGCGAATTAATGCAATAGAAGATCAAACACCCCATATTCTCACTTATAAGTGGGAACTAAACAATGAGTACATGTGGACACAAAGAAGGGAACAATAGACACCAGGGTCTAGTTGAGCGTGGAGGGTGGGAGGAGGGTGAGGACTGAAAAACTACCTATCGGATACAACGCTTATTACCTGGGTGGCAAAATAATCTACACCAAACCCCGTAACATGCAATTTAACCATATAAGAAACCTGCACATCATATACCCCTGAGCCTAAAAGTTGGAAGAAATAATCACTCTGCATCTCACAAATATATACAATTATGATGTATCAACTAAAAATGAAAGGAACACAAAAACAAACAAAAATCCCTCTCTCATTGCCCCATCTCCCTTTGCTCGCTACTGTAAAAACTTCAGGGAGGATCTGCTACACAAACTTGTGTTGATGTTGCTATGGGGAGTCAAGGACAGGTGGTGTAGAGGAGATTGAAAAAGTCAGGGAAGCAGAAAGGCGGAGTCAGAGGATACAAACTCCCTGCCTAAAATCCCCCATCCCCTACCACCCTCGAAAAAGAATTGTCATCTCCCAAAAGAAATGATACTAGAAGAAGTAGTCCAACGTGTTAGGAAAAGAGTTCTATTTAAATCTCAAAGGACAGTGGGAAAGTTGGGACACTTGTTCAGCTGACACTTGAGATACACAAATATAGTCAACCACATTCAGAGAAACCAAGTTTCTCTCTCCACTGTTGCTTACAGTCTGTGTGTGGTGATAATTCTAGCTGTCCAGGGGGCAAGACACAGTGACTACATGTATCTACCAAACTTGGGTGTGAGCCTGCCCTCACTAGAGCTTCAGAGTCTAATCAGCAGGGCTCCCATTTTTGATCCTTCTGTCACTAACTGGCTCTCCTTGCCAGATTGTTGTGCCACTCAAGACACAAACCTATTTGATAAAGTAATATAAATTCTATTGAGTCTTATTAGATGTCACTGGAAGGGGGTAGTTACCTATTAAATTATAGCTTCCCATTGATTCTGAGTATAAATTTAGAAATGTTTATCCAAAGAAATGATAACTCTGGATTTTTTTTTTTTAGGCTGGAGTGCAATCTTGGCTCACTGCAACCTCCGCCTCCTGGATTCAAGTGGATTCTCCTGCCTCAGCCTCCTGAGTTCTCCTGCCTCAGCCTCCCAAGTAGCTGGGCCTGCAGGCGCACACCACCATGCCAGCTTTTTTTGTATTTTTAGTAGAGACAGGGTTTCACTATGTTGGTCAGGCTGGCCTTGAACTCCTGATCTTGTGATCTGCCCATCTTGGCTTCCCAAAGTGCCAGGATTACAGGTATGAACCACCACGCCCAGCCTGGATTTTTTTTAAACTTCACCTAAAAATGCTAGCATCAACCTAAAAAGACCTTGCTTTTGGCACTCTGCCATTTCTTTAATACATTAAATGTATGATTCTTTTTCAAAATGAAAATATCTTTCATAGTAACCTAAGATCACTGTAATTCTTATCCCTAGTTTATATGTGTATACCTACCTCACAGATTTAGTACAAAAGATTAAATGAGTTAACATACACAAAGCACTTAAAATAGTGTCTGGCACATAGTTCACTATATGTTAGCAACTTTCTACACACACACACACACACACACACACACACATATGCGCAATACAAACACACTCCCCTAGAAATACTGAATCCTATATTTAACACATTATGGATATCTTTTCCTCTCAATACATTCTTTTTGGGGAAGGGATGAAATCTCATTATGTTGCCCAGGCTAGCCTTGAACTCCTGGCTCAATCAATCCTCCTGCCTCCACTTCCTGAGTATTTAAGACTAAATATACATTGAATATATCTATCTTCCTATTCTATTTCAAATACTGCTGCAATGAATACCTTTATTCTTTCCTCCATATTCACTTGTGACATTTTTCCATATCACAAATTCTACATATATACAAACACAAAAAAAAAGTTTAAAAAATTAACATTTAAAAAATTAACATGATTACCATTTTATTTAAATTAACTTCTAGAACTATAAAAGTTTAAAAAACAATATTTAAATGCAATAGCATTGCTTCTTGGTCTTTTGGCTAAGATCAAGTGTAAAGGTTGAATACGTATACAAGGTACAAAGGCATCTTACTGCAGAAAATGTTTAGATCCCATATGATGCATCTATTATTTGAAATATGACTAATAAAAGTCTTTTAACATTTTTTAATGGGAAGAGTATTCATTTTAATTATGCTCCAAGATGTTACAGAGCTTAAAATTAACAAATTTTAGTCAGTATAAAATAGGTTTATTGTCAACATTCAGTCATTAATACAACCCAGGTAAATGAAACATCACTCCACACAAGGCTCAGTTACTCTAAAATGCTATTTTAACTTTATATGTGTACTATAAAATGATAAATACTTAAAAATTACAACGCAAAAAAAAAAAAAAAAAATTACAACGCAAGGAAAAATATTTTTAAAAATACAATTGTTATAGACCCTTGTGTCAAAGTTCTTTATTTTTAAAGTTCTGCCTTAGGGAACAACACCATGCTACATATCAAAACCCAAAGTGAACTGTTTCTTGAGGTTACAATGCCTGATGATATACTGGATGCACTCTAAAATACCACATTTGACAAGAATGAAAAGAGAGACAACCTTCAATGATGTTCAGTAAAAGGGAGGGTGACAGAGAGGGAGAAGAATAATCAATTATTCTATGCTGATTTCTGCTAGAATGGCCTCATTAAACAATTTATAGCACTGACAAAAGGTCTGTACACAAGGGAACAAAGCCAGGACCAGTCTCAGCTTTATATAAAGGATTTTTAAATCAGACAAACACACAGTTCTAAGGCACAGTTCCCAATGCTTGTTACTCTTCAACCCTTTACACAGAGTTCTTGTCCAATGTCCATGTTTTTTCTAATTTCTTACTAAGGGATTACCAATTAAACTTTCTGTTTTCTATCGTCCCAAATCCAAACCAACAGACATTAACCAATACAATAAAATCCACCAGTCTGGTCAGTTCTATAGACACAAATTAATCACGAGACCCAAGTATATCCACCCTTCTTCCATATACTCACCTCCCTTTACATATTGACCCATCTCAATTTTGAGGAAATGCTCAAATTCTAAGGAAGTTTAAGGATTTTTCCCCCAATCAATGATTTGCTTGTTGGCAAGCTGCTTTGGTCGGCAGCAGTATAAGACATTGTTTGGAATGCTTGGCTAGAACAGATAAAATGAATGTGTAATCAGTGAATTATTATAACCTATTGTAGTAAACACAAGGACAGGAAGGATTTACTTGTGAACTTCCCTCACTCATTTCAGAAGGGAGAAAATTATGTCATAATAAGGCAAGAAAAAAGGTAGATAAGAAAATACAGTAAAATATTAATACTGTAGTGACAGCAGGGAAGGGTAGGTTTCCCACCGCTCTACATTGCTGGGAAAGTTTCTGGCATAAAAGTCAAACTCTCTCACATCATTCTTTGCACAAAGATCAACAGTTGCTTACATCAAAAGGGGCAGAAAGCCACTTAAATACTTTTCTTCAAAGATGAGACATTTCTTTTGAACTGAGTATTACAGAGAGGAGAAAGTAGGGAAAGCTCACTCAAAGAGGTCCTCAAACATGCGCTGTCCCATTGCTATATACGCTTCCTTTTCTTCTGGTGTCATTTGAGCCACTAGCTCCGGCCGTTGACTCACTTCACTGTAGGAGAACGGACGGCCAGCCACCATGACAATGGGGTCATCTGCTACTTCTTCAAACTCGTCATCCTCCTCTTCATCCTCTTCTCGTTGATGCGCAGCCACAGTTGCTGGACGGGGTGGAGAATCATCATCTGACTCACTGGTCTCACTTTCTGAGTCACTGCCATTGGCAGTGGTTACTGGAGCGGCTGCCCCCACTGAACCAGCCATGGCAGAGGAAGTCTTTTTCTCATGAATGAGCAGTGCTCGCATGACTTCTTCATTATCATCAGGCCCTGCACGGCCTTCCTCACGCTCCTGAAATGCATCCATATCTATGCCCCCTGGGGAGGAAAACTCAGAAAGTCAATATCCTTACATATAAATGGCATTTCTTTATAACTAATACATAATAGTTTAACATATATAAAAATAATGCAATAAAATAACAGACTTCACTGGTTCCATTTTTGAGCTGCTGTCCATAAAATATTCAAAATATTTCTTACAAACTGGAGCTTAAGTAGTACAATGCTTAAGTACATCCGTTTTAAGAGTATTATAGTGTAGATTTAAATCCTGGTTCTATACACAAGCATATTGGGCAAGTTATTTAATCTCTAAACTTCAATACCTTTTTCTGTAAAATGAGGTGACAAAAGCATCTACTTTCTAAGGCTCTGGATAAAAACATATACGATAATGTCTATGAAGAACCAACTACAGTAGTTGGCATAAGAGAAAATCAAAACAAGGCTCTTCATTTTACTCAAGGTAAAAGTCAAAGGCTCTGCAATGGCCTATAGGGTCCCATATCATTTGGTCTCCTTCCTGACCATCTACCTCTTACCTCTTCTTCCCCATGCTCATTCTGGTCTACCCACAGTAGCCTCCATGGTATTCCTTGTACATATCAGACACACTCCTACCTCAAAGCCTTTGCACTGCCTGTTCCCTCTGCTTAGAATATTTTTCCTTTAGGTACCCATACAGCTAACTCCCTTACATTTTTCATGTCTTTATTCAAATGTCACCTTTTAAATGTATCCCATCGCTACATTCCCAATGCTCTATTTTTCCTCCGTACCACTTATTTCCTAACATAATAAATAACTTATATCTATTGCCTTTGTCACCTCCTTTCCAAGGATGTAGGTTCTACCACAACAGATATTTATCTTGTTTATTCATGGGTATGTTCCATTTATCTAGAAGGTACCTGCCACTCTGTTAAGCACTGAATAAATATTTGACAAATGAGTGAATAAATGTGAGTTTTATTTTTATGAAACAAACTAAGTATATACAAACTCTTTATAAAAAAAAGGAATCTAATTTTAGAAATGAAGCTTCTCTCACTACACATCTCCTATCATTTTGTATACATACCTTACCTGACGTATTGCAGATCAAGTATTTAAGAAAACCATCTGCATTCTACATTCTGATAGTACTACCAAACATACTGCCATTTAAAACATATAAAAAGATTAAAAGTATTGTTTGGAATCTGACGCCCTGATTCAAATCAACACTACTTAGCTGTATGATTTTAGCCAAGTTATTTCATCTCTCTGCTTCAATTTTCTCAAGTACAGAAAGGGGGAAAAGTAGTATTTACTTCAGTAGGTTGCTGTGGGGATTAACTGAATGCCTGTGAAGTGTCTAGAATGGGCCTAGCACTTACAATAGTATTATCTATCATCATCATTATCATCATCATCAAGAGAAGGCTCAGAAATGGTCAATTCTAACTATAGATAAAGTGAAAGCATCTTCTCATTAACACATTAGAATGAATTAGTTAAAACGCTAGACATTTTAGAAAGCAAAGAACTCCTAAAATGAGATATTGGGCAGATAAGAGAGAGAAAGGGAAACAGGAACAGACAAGTTAAAAGTTTAGGTCAGAGAAAAGAGGCTTTTGATAACACAACTGTCAAAATGAAAGTTAAAATAAAACTTAACTACTCCAAAACATTATCAAAGGCTGAACCTCCTCCCTAGAGCTTACTGGCAATGCAGCACTACAACAGAAAGAAAAAAAAGTAAGGAATGCATGCAAGCCTTTAGGTCAATATTGCTTCTAAAAGAATGTTCCAACTAGTTTAACTATATAGACACAGTATTTTGATTAATGTTTAAAGTAAATATAAAACTAAGGGAAAAAAATTAGTTTTGTAAACTAAATTAAGTCACATTTAACAGATTTCTGACAAGGGTCTTGAAAGGTTTGGAGAAAAAAGGAGTTCTTCTGTTACAGATGAAGGCAGAAAGCAAAAAAGGATAAATAAGCAAATTTCTGGATGGTAAAATAGAAACAGTAGTTTTAGTAACAGTCTTTTTCAATAAAGTTACAAATTACAAAGAAGAGTATACTGGGAAACTATATTCACAGAATTGATGCTAAGCAATTGTGGGTACTGAAAGGCCAAGTTGCAGCAAAAAAATATAGGAAGAGCTGAAGGTTGTAGATGTGGGCAGAAAAGTAGCAGATCTATTTCTATTTCAGCAAGTGCAAGAGAAAAATAATCTAAAATATACTGAAAGATATGATCCAAGCTATTGGATTCAAGGCAGAGAAGGTCCTAAAAAGTACCTTTACATGTTTCTAAAGTTTTTGGTTTTAACAAGCTTCCAGAACCAAAACAATAAACAAAATCTCAAGTAAAAACTAGAAAGATATTGGAAACAAAACTCAAATCAATGGTGAATCCATGCTTGAACAACATGTATCATTCTGGTCACTCGGTCTCCAGTAAACTATATTACAATCAAAGATGGTCCAGAAAAAGATAAAATAAACAAAAACGGTAGGAGGTGGCAGCAGTAGGAAAGAGAATTGTTTCAGGAAAGCAGAATAAAAAGTAATTAGAACTGTATTCAGTATAGTAATGAGGACATGATTGAAGTCTATAAAATTGTGAAAGACAGCAACATGACTTGAAGTTTGAGAAAAAATCAAGTGTAGGATAAATAAGACTCACTGCATACATTCACTGGACAGAGTCTGCTCTACTATTAAGAAACTTAACAAACAAAAATTTAGACATGGCAACATAACTATCCTATTTTATATAGAAATAAATATTTACAAAACTTAAGTAGATCAGATAACTTATTTAAGGCCCATACGATTCATATTCTATCATTCTAGGAATTATAAACTAGAATGTTAAACTTTTGAGCTTAATATATAATGTTGGTTCATAATAGTTTTATTTTATTCAGTTTTCTTTCTAAGTTCAAAGAAAAGAAGGTTGCTTTAAGAACAGGCAAGAAGCCAAGTTGGGGAAAACAAATTTATTAAATAATAATATAGCTTAACTACTGTATGATCTAAAACAACTTGAATCCAAATAACACAACAGGCTGGGCACAGTGGTTCATGCCTGTAATCCTAGCACTTTGAGAGGCTAAGGCAAGTGGATCACTTGAGGTCAGGAGTTTGAGACCAGCCTGGCCAATATGGCAAAACCCTATCTCTACTAAAAACACAAATATTAGCTGGCCATGGTGGCTCACGCCTGTAATTCCAGCTATCAGGAGGCTGAGGCAAGAAAATCGCTTGAACATGGGAAGCAGAGGTGCAACTGAGATCGCACCACTGCATTCTAACCTACTCGACAGAGCGAGACTCCATCAAAAAAACCCAACGTGGCAGGCTAATCAGTGAGGAAGAGGTAGGGTAAAGTATGGGTTGCCAAGGAAAAATTTTCCCTATTAAAATTAATATATCAAAGAGAATCACAGTAGAGGTATTAACTGCTTTACCATCACTACCCAACTCCACATTACCTTCACAATTTCTAGTATATATGTATACTAAATGTGAATTATGAAGGGAAAAGAGGCTAGGAGAAAGGCCAAAAAACAAGTGGTTTTCAGTTACTGATATTATTCTTTAGCACTAATGTAACACCAAACTCAGGTGGTATGTTTGTAATGATACATAACTTGGGAGTAGCAGCACATAGATTGTTTTGCTGATAAAAATCTAACCAGAAATAGAGATACCCTTTCTCTCTACTTTCCAGCTTGAGTCATCATCATCCATTTTCACCTCCCATTTTCTACATACTCCTAAACCATCATCACTCAAAGTCTTGAATCCAGTAATTTTGACTAAAACTTACAAAGTAAAATCTTGCAGTTCGCTAACTTCGGAAGATTAGTATGCAATTCTTAACCCCGTATGGCTCAGAGATTTCCAAAATCCTCTAGAACAAAATTGTGCTAACCGTCTTGGACTGTGAGAATGCTCAATCCTTTATTCATGTGTTCTCTCTGTATATATTTCAGGTAGCATAACTTTTGGGTAGTATATAGTTTTGGCTCACAATTCAGAAAAATTAAATGCACGTAAGTCAGGGCAATATAAGATTAAAGGAGAGGTGAATGTAGCTACCTTGTACACAATAAATAAAATTTTTCCAAGAAATTAAGATAAAGAGATGACAATTTTTCAAATCTAAAAATGAAAATTTAAAAGACTATTTGTTATTTTCACTAAGTTGAAGGGCAATGCAAGTATACTAGTTGGTTTTTATCTTATTGCTCAATTTCTTACTTCTTAATATGATGCAATTGTTATGTAGAACAGATCCAGAATTGCCCAGGCAGTTTCCCACTTAGCCAAGTTTATGTTCTACTGAACCTAAGACATATCCATTTTACTGACTTATACCCTTACCTTCTTTCATATCTTCAGAACTATACGCCCCTTGGACAGTGCTCTCTCTCAACCAAATGGGCCTCTCTTTGGCAGATTTCCCTTCCAGTGAGGCTCGATGAAGATCTTCTTGGTCATCCATGTTAATGACAACATTCTGAGTGTATAAGTCCTCATAGGAAGGACCTTTGGTGGTCCATGCTTCCCGGTGGTGCCCACCTGCCAGGCTAGCAGCTACAGCAGTAGTTGCTGCATGGTCCTTGCTATATGAAAAGAACAGAGGAGGATAGGAAGAAGAAAAAATGTCTTGGTGTTGGAAAAAAGAAGGGCAGCTGGGGAGGCAATTACCACAGTACTACACATAAATGCTATCTAGCAATCATACACACAAGCTTTAACAATTCAGAGAAAGAGCTTCTATACTTCAGGGTAAAAGTTAGTGTGTTAGAAAAACACATCATACTTATATTTAAGTTCCTCAAACACTGGATCCTCTAGTGTATATAGTGACTGAGGTTTTATAGATTTAAGATGTTTTGATAAATCTATTAATATTTGGAGGAGGAGAGAGTGGTATGGTGACATCATATGCTTAAAGCCACTAGTCTGGCAAAAATCTCTCCCAGCATTTTGTTTAAAAAACAAAACACTGTATTTTTTAAAATGTTACCTCAGCTAAACCCAGAATAATTCAAAGTGGTTCTGTGTGCTTTTTCCTTTCTTTTGTGTGATGATCATGGAAAAACCTAGAAAACTATCCTACAAAGCCTGACCCTCAACAAATGTTCTTCTCCTGCCAATCATGGAGTAAGGCATATCCCTCTGCACAGACTAGTTTCTTTTCTATGGGGTTGTATCCTATCTCCACATCTATGCTGATCCATTGTATCCATCACCAACCACTGATTCTACTCTGCAGTGAATATGATCTGTCTATTTTGTTTTGCTTTTTACCTCTAATACCCATGATCTTCTCTGTTAGCCTGTTCCAAGTTTGATCATTTCCTTATCTTTCCCTAGTCACTTATGTTGCCCTGCCTCTCTGTTAGGCCAAGTTTTCAGTCTTTCCAACGGTTCCCCATTTTACCTGCCTACTTCACTCTCAATCTGTTCCAAATTATTTTGAATATGCCTCATTCTCTGTGTCTGAGCTCATGCCTTTTCTTTCTCTGCCTGCTACTGATGCTTTCCACTTCAACTTCTACGTATGCTTCTCCACCTCCCTCTTTTCAGACAGGTATCCTTTTATCTGTAACCATCTTCATGTTTCTTAAACTGCCTGTGCACTCCAAACCTTTTGGGTGTTTCTTTTAGTGTCCATGACTGACCTGGCATCACGTATCTTCGTTTTTCCTCCATTTTGCTCACTCTTTTTCATGGATCCTGAATTAACTCCTGTGTGGAGCCCCGACTCATTCTGAATCTAATCAATACTTCATTAGTCTTTCCTCCTAAGCCATTCATTATTTTGCCTTCACTTTTGTCATTTTATCTCTGCTTACTCCCTTTATTCTTCACTTCTTTCTGGGCCTACTTCTTATCTACTGGGGTTTTCTAACTCATACTTAGCTGAGATCTGCGTCCCCAAATCTGATTAACCTAACACATCTCTCCCTAATAATACTGTGTTTCTGACCATCCTCTGGAGGTAACCTTGGGTTCACTCATCCCACCTATCCTGTCCTGCCTCTGGATATCTATAGGGCCACTGCTACTTGTGCAACAATAAAATGCTGTCTCCAGTTGTCCAATCCACACTGATCCAGTCATTTAATCCATGCCTTCCAGGTACTGCCTTTGCATTCTTTCATTATTCCACCTCTGTGCCCAGGGCTACTTTGTAAACCACTTTCTCCCACAGCCTTTTTCTTCCCAGTGCTTTGTTCTACTACCTGTTCCATGCCTCAAACACTTATTTTGCCTCCTCACTGCTCCTACTTTCTATGAGTTACTTGCTCTCCACTCTAAGTATAGGCCTATGAGGCATCTCTCTGTAAATATATCCAATTCATCTACTATTATCTTTTTCTTTTGCTATATTCTGAAGTCTTATGCTACAATTGTAAATAACTGGTTTCTCTCTAAATGCTATTTCTTTCTGCATTCATTGATGTTACTTTGTGTATCATTTCTTGTTCACCTCAATTTAACCATTAACTGTCGTTAGTCATTCTCTATCTGTTCTGCCTTTTAAAGGCTGTGTGGCTGCCTTCACTGTAATCTGATGCTGCTTACTTTGTATAGATTGGCTTTTTGAACTTTTGTCTCCTTCAGCATTCATTTTCTTTCTCTTCTCTCTTGGTTTGATCTGATTCTTCATGTGTCTGTGCTTACTCTACATTCTGGCCTCTCCTCCCGCACCCATTTGACTCTCTGACTCCTTTCAATGCCTCTTCAATACTCAGCCAACACCCCCATCTTGATGTGCTGAGCCTACTCTATATCTGCCACCCCAAAATGTGTCTCCCTGAGTTAGCTAACCCCAGTTGGGAGAGACAGAATAGGCTTATTTCTCTGATCTGGCCAGCCACATCCTTATCTTTCCTTGATCCAGACTTAAATGACTCACTCACTCTGAGGTTACTGTTTCTCTTTATATATAATCCTGAACATAAAGTTTTTCTCTATTCTCTATCTTTAACATTGACTATGAAGACTATCTCATGAAGGTATGAGAAGTACTTTGAGAAAAACAAGAACGCTACAGAGAAAGAACAGGACAATTAAATGTTAACACAAGAGTACTTTTAAAAAGTCTTGTTTTTACAGATTTGAGAAGATGGCGCTGTAGGACCAACTCAGGATTGCAGCTCCCAGTGAAAGCGCAGATGGTGAGTGGACGTCACATATCCAGATGGATCTTTATTGCCCACAGACTAGGAGATTCCCAGGTGCAGAAGCACCACGGGCCGGCATGGCTGTTAGGGCCGGCACGGCTCTTTGGGCCGGGCTGCAGTGCAGCGGCACACCGTACGAAATACACTGGTTTGGTTGCCCTGGTAAACCGGCAATTGGAGTTTTCAGAAGGCAGATTAACACATTCATCTGATTAAACGGGCCTTAAACAGAAAGCCAAGCCAGGAGATTCCCGGGCAGCAACGTGGTTCCAGCCGGCGCAGTGGGTCGCTGCACGGGAAATCACACAGATCCTGGCGCCCTTTCAGCAGATGACTGGAACACCTGGGAGAGAGTCAACAGTTCAACTTAAAAAAAAAAAAAGGGCTCTGAGGCAGGGAGCCAGGTGATCAGGCTCAGCAGGTCCCAGCCCCACAAAAACAAACAAAACAGCAATTGGAAACGCTTGGGGTTCAGAGTTTCACGACAAGCACAGCTGAACCCAGGACAGTGCAGCACAGAGTGGGGGGGGGCGTACACCATCACCTAGGCACTCGACCCCTACGGAGGTACACTGCCATTGCTGATGCAGCCTGCCGCTGCCAAGGCAACCCGCCATAACAGAGAGTCCGCCACTACAGAGGTGGGCCATCATCACCACGGCAGCTCTAACCACACCCATATAAACAGGACTACAGGGAATTACACATGGCAGCAGGGCGGAGCACACGGCAGTAGGGTGGAGCCCACGGCCGTTCAGCATAGCCACCACAGGCAGGCAGCGATTAGACTTGCTGGGCAGGACAGTGCAATGGGTACCCAAAAATAAAACCCTAACTCCCAGGGTCAGAGCACCTGAGGAAAAAAAGGGGCTTTATGAGTTTTGCTGCAGCAGACTTAAACGTACCTGCCTAGCAGCCCTGAATGAACAATGGAGCTCACAGCTCAGCACTTGAGCTCCTATAAAATACAGACTGTTTCCTCAAGTATAAAGTGCAGACAGTCTACTCAAGCAGCTCCCTGACCCCCGTATATCCAAAGAGTCACCTCACGAAGAACTGATCAGACTGACATTTGGCGGGCATCATTCAGGGACAAAGATAGCAGAAGAAGAAACGGGTAGCAACCCCCACGGTTCTGCAGCTGCTACAGGTGTACCCCAGGTAAGCAGGGCCTGGAGTGGCCCTCAGTAGTCCTACAGCAGAGGGGCCAGACTGTTTGAAGGAAAACTAAGAAACAGAAATACTTCATCATCAACAATCTGGACGTCCACTCAGAGACCCAATCGAAAAATTAGCAACTACTCAGACGACAGGTGGATAAATCTACAAAGATGGGAAGAAACCAGCGCAAAAAGGAGGAAAACACCTGAAACCAGAACACTTTGCCTGCTACAAGGGACCACAACTCCTAACCAGCAAGGGAACGAAGCTGGACAAAGAATGAGTGTGATGAAATGACAGAATCAGACTTCAGAAGGTGGGTAATGAAAAACTTCTGTGAGCTAAAAGAATATGTTCTAAATGCAAAGAAACTAAGAATCTTGAAAAAAGATTTGAGGAAATGATAACAAGAATGGACAACTTAGAGAGGAATATGAGTGAATTGAAGGAGCTGAAAAACACAACACGAGAACTTCGCGAAGCATGCACAAGATTCAACAGCCGAATTGACCAAGCAGAAGAAAGGATATCAGAAGTCGAAGATCAACTCAATGAAATAAAACAAAAAGCCAAGATTAGAAAAAAAGCGCAAAAAGGAATGAACAAAGTCTCCAAGAAATGTGGGACTATGTGAAGAGACCTAATCTACGTTTGGTAAGTGTACCTGAATGTGACAAAGAGAATGAATCCAAGCTGGAAAATACTCTTCAGGATATTATTCAGGAAAATTTCCCCAACCTAGCAAGGCAGGCCAATATTCAAGTCCAGGAAATACAGAGAACACTGCAAAGATATTCCGCAAGAAGAGCAACCCCAAGGCACATAATCATCAGATTCGCCAGGGTTGAAATGAAGGAGAAAATGCTAAGGGCAGCCAGAGAGAAAGGTCGGGTCACCCACAAAGGGAAGCCCATCAGACTCACAGCAGATCTCTCGGCAGAAACACTACAAGCCAGAAGAGAGTGGGGGCTAATATTCAACATCCTTAAAGAAAAGAACTTTCAACCCAGAATTTCATATCCAGCCAAACTGAGCTTCATCAGTGAAGAAAAAATAAAATCCTTTGCGAACAAGAAAGTACTCAGAGATTTTGTCACCACCAGGCCTGCTTTACAAGAGCTCCAGAAAGAGGCACTACACATAGAAAGGAACAACCAGTACCAGCCATTCCAAAAACATACCAAATGCTAAGGAGCATCAACAAAATGAAGAATCTACAACAACTAACAGGCAAAACAGTAAGCTAGGTTAACAATATTAACCCT